TTGGTGTTGGTAAGTTTATAATATTAATATCATGAAAACTATCCATCATTAGTCAAACAAATAAAAAAATAAAGATATGCATGTGTAGAGTAAAAAAAGTAGATTACACTTTTTCATATGTTTTTTGTACACGGACATTTGTCTGGATTGTTGTTTACATAAATTAATTGTTTTTCCCAGCGTTAACCAGGTTTTGTACTTAACCATGATGAGATAGGTCCTTTAAATCTGAAGAAGAAATAGGATTCCCAATCCCGAAACGTCTTGAGGCACGTGTTATTCAGTGATGGAAAATGTTCACACAAATCTTTGTCAATATTTTCAAAAACACATTTAATCAATCAAATAAAAAAATTTAATATTCTTTTATATTTATTGGTCATTATGACCCTATAGCTTACACCCTACTGATACTATACAGGTTCTATTGTATATTTCTGGTACAGGAAAACGCTGATTGTATCGGTAGCATAATATTAATTAGTACTAATTATTACATACCATGTATTACATTGGTATTATTTACACTGTCCATGTAAACACAGTAGCACAGTATAGTTTGATTGTCTTGTGTACATATTTGAAGATTATTTCTATTTTAAATAACTATAACATCTGGCTAGGTATTCTTGCTATTTTTTACCATATGGTATGATTTTTGTTTTCATATGTTGCTTTTGCTTGGAAGATAACCTTTGATTTGTTCGTTCTGGTACTTTTACTGAAATAATATAGTTGTTCAATTATTCTAAACTCTAAGCTTTTTAGCGAACTTCCCATTAGAATAAACTATTGCCGTAGGTGGCATGGTAAGACCTAGACCCGGGATCTGGTTGATTTTCGTTTTTATTTCCCCAGAGAGAAAACCCCCATCTGTTCAAAATGTTATATGTATCCGTAAACACCTAACCTCAAATTATTTTGATCCGATTTTAAATAAAGTTCGGCATGGATTTGTAAGGCTGGATAAACTAGAACGATTTCACAAATCAGCAAAATCGGGTAATAGGAAAAGGTTTTTATGGGGGTTTGAAGTTTTTAAATAACTCGTTTTATCATATTTTGCCAATATAAACAATCCATTTTGTATTACAGTCATCAAGTAGAGCTAAAAAAACGAACAATTTTGTACGTTGAAGCACTTTCTAGAATTAAAAATTACGGAGAAAATAAAACACCCAAATTTAAAATTTCTACGTTATTTCTATGTAGAAAATTAATACTGTTGTAGATTACTTGATTACTTGGATTCAAATTGGACGATGGGTTTTAATTGATACACTTACGCGTCTATAATGTCTTTGTCCCTAAGCAAACCTTCCTTAGCACTTATGTATTTAACCTCCATAACCCCCCCCCCCCTCTCATTTGGATTAATCTAACGGCCCCATTACATTTAGCACAAATAAACAGTCGGGTTATACAACCATTAGCCGCTTAACTACACTTAAAACGTTTGATAAAGATAAAGTGCAAATTTGATCATTCGAAACTTTAATTAAATAAGTGTATTTATTCCCAAATAATGGTATAATACGCGTACATGAAAGTGAAACTGGTGTTAACAAGCTTACATAAAGATAAATTGCCTACTTAAATTATTTTCTAAAAAAAAGAAAACTAAATTGGAAACAACAAAATATTATATTAATGTAAAGGTTGTAGAGGGTTCTCGTTGTATCTGTCACCTATCCTTTTAGTTTTATCATTGAATATACAACGTTATAATGTTAATTCATTTATAATAACTTTGCCTTTGTTATTATTACATAAAATCATACACATGTAAAACATGTACTCTTAAAACTAATGTTTTCGTCATTGGTGCACTCATACGTAGCTGTACATGAAATACACATCAAATCAGGATTTGGATTAAACGATAGGATGGAAAGCCCAATTGAAGTTTCCAAAGTTAATGTAAACTTTATTGCCCGTTAATTAATTTGATATTTGAACCACTATCATATCTTTTTCTACAAAAGGGAAAGAGCGTTTACAAAAATAGCAAAGTTTCCACCACTACCTACTGTCGGGGTAGTAGTCATTTCATTTTCTAAGAACCACAAGTGCACCCTGTAAAAAAAGGCATGGCAGGTTGGTAAAACGTTTCATGCGTAGCACTGTATCCATTTGTCAAATAGTTCGATATTTAAACTACGATCACAATTTCTGCATCCAAAGAACCAAAAAGAAATGTTAAAAATCATATAGTTCCATTCTTTCACGACCTAGAAATTTGCAATTTAAAACTTTACATGTATCTTTTTACCTTTCAGTCCCCAAATCGTATCACCAAAATCAATGCGTGTTCCAACCGAGTAACAATGCGAATCACGTAACCGAACCGTGGAATTAGCTTTTATTCGGTCTTTCAACAGAACTAGTGAACTCCAAAGCTAATAGCAGTCGTGCGATGCAAGCTAAGGTGTAACGGAGTATCAGAAACTGTTACCTAATGTGTAACGGAGTATAAGAAACTGTTACAGTAAAGTAAACTCTATCGTGTAAATAAACTGTGCAGAAATAGAACTGTGCTTACGTGGACAATCACCTGGGCTAAAACATACTGTGATACACTATTGCATTGCTTTAAGTGGTAGTTTTCTATTGTAAAGTTATTCTGGTCTAAAAGATTGTGTAATTTTCTTTTTACTAGATAGCTAAACGCTGAGTTGGGCTTTACAAAGTGTAACAACGATATTATCACATAGCTGAAATGTGAAGCCAATGGTTGGGGAAATGGAGAAGTCGTCCGTGGATACAAATAGATACATAAATAAACATAATTGGTGTTTGGTGAGATTTGACCCGAGTTGCTAAGCAAGAAGTCATGCGCTCTAACCACTACACTAAGCCGTCCACACTTTAAATTGCTTACAACAAATTTAATTAAATACAAAGGACACAGGCAAATTGATATAATTAGTATAGGCCGAAATTATAAATTATTATATTAAATACAGGTAACAATTTCATTAACTGTGTGTGCATAGGCTACTGCAAATATAATGCAAAAGTATTTAAAAATCGTTATGGTGAATATATTATGTCATATAAGTCATATATTATGTCATATATGTCATATATTATGTCATATTATGTCATATTATGTCATATATATTATGGTTTGGATTCTCTAATGCCCGCTACCTTTGTTTGTATACCTTTACTATATAATGTAGCTTATCGAGTATAGCCTAAACTCCTTACTTTTTTATTTTCCTATCGAGAACATGGGATTGTTTTAATTTGGTTATTTAAAGATATGTTAAAAGTTTGTCAACAAAGGAGAAATGGTTCCTTTAACACCCTTCTCAAAGCGCGTGTATGTATAAGTATAAAAGAGGATGTTTGTATATTTGTTTGGCAGTGATAAACTCAGACACCGCTGAACCGATTGCCACGAAACTTGGTAAATACGTGTAGAATTTCATGGAATAGGTTTATACACCATCAATTTCGTGATCCGTCCAATCGGCTCCGCCCCAGTGGCTCTGGAGTTTCCCATGTTAACCTTATGAGAAATGGAATTATTAATGAATCTTAACAGCTGTTTCAATTAAACAAGTTGGTTCTGTTCTATGATGTTCAATAGCATTAAAGTTACAAGGATTACCAACAGGGTGCAGCACTATTATTTCTTTTACATTTATGAAAACAGCTAATTTGCAACCAAAAGGTGAGTGAGCATAGCGAACGAACTTCAACCTGGAGGCGAGTTAGCGTAGCGAACGAGCTAACCTGAAGGCAAGTGAGCGCAGTGAACGAGCTCCAACCTAAAGGTGAGTGAGCGTAGCGAACGAACTTCAACCAGGACGTGATTGAGCCATGAACGAGATCATCTTGAAAATTAAGAAGTTAAACGGGGCAAAGCCCGCGGGTTACAGCTAGTTTGCTGTAAAATAAACACACTATCACGTATGTCAATATATAATTTAATATTAAACTGCTCAATGCGACAACGAACATACACTGAAACGACTAGAAATACACAATGTAAAGACAAAGGTGAAATTATAGTGGAATAATCGACCGTTTACTAAAAGCCTTCCGGTAGCAAGGGTCGAAAGTCAACCGGGCGAGGTCGGGTTTAAGGTGGTAATTAATTAACAGTGTTTGGCTGGAAAGCAGCTGAAACAATGCCGCCATTGTACAAGATGGATGGCAGTCGTGATAAATGAGATGTGACGTTGCTGTGAAATGGGGGGGGGGGGGTAAACTGTACTACGAAGTATACACCTTACACAGTACACTGTAATGGGACAGGTACATGTAGTTATACACAGTATGTATTAATTACAGTATACATACTGTAATGTAAGGAGTACACCGGACCTATCAGTTAGTACAATATACAGCACTGCAATTTGAGAATCTTGTCTTGCTCTTGCATTGTAATGCAAGATTTTTGCTATAATTCTCAACGTATAACGCTTATATACAGGGACATTATAGGCTTCTTTGAATGCATAAAACTGCTACAACAAGAGGAACAAAGTTATGCTCAATAATCGATGCTGACAATATAATTTGCTACAGTAGTTTTAAACGAGTAACCTTTTGTACACGAATTGTCTTAGCTATAGGTATCACATGGAACCGAATCACATTTTTAGTGAGCACCGAACTGTTTACTTGGTGTTATAGGAATTTGCACATTAAACTTTTCGTACACAAAAAGGGTGTTTAGCACAAAATCCCACTAAATCACGTTTTCCAGAGCACCAAATTATTTAAAATTCTTCAGCACCGGATGATAATTTAGTACACAAAGACAATACTGAACAAGTGACAACTAAGGATAGTTGAACTCCCCTCTAATCCTACCCACCGGGCCCAGAAGTGAAGATTCTTCTTGTTTGCCCAGGAGGTAGGATTCTAGGGGTAAAGCACTTCGGCGACCCATCTACTCGAGGTTGTGACGTGACTCATCGGGACTTGCCAGTGGGGTGTTTCTTCAGGATCTAGTCTTTTTTAGCCTAGAGTTAGTGACTAACCTCGAGTATCTCATCTCCCACGCAGATTCCCCCGGTCTTGAAGGCAGAGCCCTTGGGGTTGATGCCGCAGACGAACACTGCCATACGGTTGCGGTCCTTGTGCCCGGCCAGACTGATGCCCAGCCCTTGGTGGCCCTTCTCCAGCTGCACCATGACCACGCCCGGCCCCAGGTTCCCATACTTCTTTTTCACTTTATCTGTAACCGAAGAATTACATCAATCCAACTGATCATAGTAAAATTATGCACACTGCTGGGAATTTTAAAATCTGGGTGGTAGTAATTAAATTACGCAACTACGAACCTACCAGAATGTTTCTACATATGTTGTCTTTATTGGAAAATAGTGGTAATTGTTAGTAATGGTAATGCACACAGAATTAAATTACGATAATGACTTCTGCATATTCGGGTTTTCATGTTGGATACAGTTGTTGTTTCCAAGGATGATATGCAGGTGCGATATTCTGTTATAGCATGGTAGCTGAGTGGTTAAAATTCTCAATTAACAATCAGAAGGTCGCTGATTTGATCCTTAAAATAGTCAGAACCTTTTGGTACTTCAAAACTGTACCCAGCTGTAATTCCTCATTGGACTAATAAATGGAACTGGCTATAGCTGAGTGCTCGTAAAATCTACCAAATGTAAAAATAATTTTCCGTGAAATTAAGATCCTTGCATTTTATATCTAAAGACTACGACAAAGGTTTCTGGTTCCTGAAAAACACCAAAGACGTTGAATATTGCAAGTAAACATTATTAGTCCTAATGCAAAATCACGATCTTTTTACATGTTGGTTACGTCTTCGATGATGATAATTACGACTAAATGTTGTTTATTTTACGTTGTATTTTTTCAATAGTTGTCTTAATCTTGACCATAAACTGGGACGGGTGGCATCGTCCTGTAATCCAGCTACTAGGAGATTACGAATTGTGGATATTTATAGGCACGCACTGTGGATGCGATACTCCCGCACCAGTGACCTGAAAATTAGACCAATTCGGTAAAAATGTGGTTCCAATTCCACTATAAACTGTAGGTCCATTAGTTGCCATTGGCTGTATGGGCCATTAATTAACAGCTGTGTCTAAGGTATATTTCGGCCTTAGTTACTAACAAGACTACAAGATCGCGCCCCTCATCCTACACTTATCTCCATTCATACTTGGCTTAAAATACCTACTTTGTATGGTCGCCATTTCATTGAAAAGTATTAATAAAAGTATTAAAGTATTGAAAAAGAGGAGATGCAAACGTTAAAAATATTATTGTATTCGGCCATAAAGGTTTGTTTTTAATTAAAAAGAAATGAATCGTTACCCAAAACAATTCTATATCTTCATACTACTTATTGGGATGAAACAATCTATAATACCATCTATGGGATACTTAAAATGTGCCCAACAACATTTAGCAAAACTTTGTTGATTACAAGAAATCAAAACACTGGCTGAGTTCACGGTTGACTAGATCAAGTCCCTACATCACAATACATTATCTCGTCTCCCCCAACGCGGAGAAGGAAGCTACAGTTTATCTGCCCAAGGGACAGCTTTATGTCCTGCCTTGTGATGAGCGATGAGCAAAGTTAAATGACAGATACGGTTGCAGAGTAAACAGTGTGTGGGTTGTGTTATCTAGCGATTCTCTCAACCCCAGAGAACACCCCTTGTATCTCCCTCATATTGGTTGTTGGGAGGGGGAGGGGGGCACAAACAATAGGTAGCGATTGCATGAGAGGTCTTTACAGAGGTAGTCTCTGTGGAAGGAGGGGGATTAAAACATAAACTGATGAGGAACTAGTGGAAAACTTGTTACCAAAGAATTACCGCGAAATTGTCAGTAGTTTCAAGGATGTCGGAGCCCTTTCTGAGAATGACTAGTAGTGATTTTGAATATTTGATTTCAATGATCGGACATAAAGTTCAAACTGTGGAAAACAACGTGAAGCGATTTCTTCCATTGTGTCATGTCAGCTAACCAAAACACCCAAACGAGGGTACCTAACATGAATACCCAGATTTAAAAAACAACAATAAAAAATACGGTAAAACCCCTAAGAAGAATCTGCTCCGATTATGAATGATCCTAAAAACGCCACTAAAAGAACAATGCAGGAGTTTTGTGAACACTCTGCAAATCGTACTTGGCAATTACAAATGTGTCGACTACATGAGATAACAAACTAATTTCGATGTAGTTAAATTACAAAATGCTAAGTGAATGATTAGAATAGAGTAACAATTGTGTAGCGGAGTTAGTGCAGCATAAACGTATCCCATACACAGTATTATATTGTCTTTGCCCATACCCATACCCTTTATAATTCTTTGAAAATTAATTTCATTGAGCTGAATGAGAGGAAGTAATGCTGATTTTCTATATTGATTGAATGAATTATTATGTGAGATGTTATATAGTATCGTCCATCACTGTATACTAACACCCTACATGTAGTCTAATGTCAGTATGTCTAATGACCGAGTTTGAAGAGACTAATCTTGTATGTTTATTCTGTGCTCTCTGGTTTGTAGTCTATTCCCCACGCTAGAAACAGTTTTCACGAAGCCAGATCTCAACACATCAGTTTTCCTTCAACAATAGTATTCCCTTCACCAATCAAACGTCAGTCGACACATTGTGATTTATGTTCCACAATCCTAATGTATCTTCTGTGTAGAGAGGACTATCAGTTTTCCTTTGTCAAATGCATTTTGTCACTCCATTTAAAATAGATTTTTCCTTATAACTGGACAGTTTTGAATATTAACTCTGATTTGTAAGTCTCCTATGTTATCTTCATACAAAATTTACATTTTGATCCATCATTTTACAAATCTTTCATTTTCCTTTATAATCATACACCGGTTAGTTACATTGTTTTCTTTTATCTTCAGCAACTTGACCGTCACCTATTTGTATAATCGAATAACTGTTAGGCTTAGGTTCATACACTATCTATTATGTGTTATATGCATTCTATATGTATTTAATTTATGTGTTTTTGTGTTATACCCTATTGGAATTTTTTAAAGTTTTACCCAGGGAACGATCCGGTCTATACTCTAGTCTTGTTACTATTTAATATAATTTAATGTAATGGTCTTAAATACCATCATTAATGGTCCAGGATCTCGCTTGAAATCAAACCAGCGACCTTCACAAGGTGAGCAGGTCGTGCATTAATTGCGCCAAAGAGTTCCTTAATTGTGCTAAGCCCTCAAAGGATCCCAAAAATTGTTCCTTTAGTTACGCAAAACCCAAACCAGGTAGGTACGAGTTGCTGGTAGAAAGAATGTCCTTGTTCATCCTAACCTAACCTAATACTTTAGAAATGATAACCTTACCTAATTTAAACTACTCAGTTATACAGTCTAAGAGGGCCGCCACTGGACGAAGTCAAGGAAGGTATCGGGTGGCTCCCTGGAGTAGTTGGCGCAATTCACGAATACCCGATTAGCTGACTCAGGTCAGTTGGCGCAATTAATGCCCACCCGGTGAGCACTATAACGACTGGGCTACTATACCCTACTATTTTATAGCTTTGTAACGAATACTTTAGCCCAGAAAATATACAAAGCGTTGTGAGCAAACTCAAATAAAATGGTTTCCAAGTTGTTAAAAGGTCAAAATTACACAGACAATGATGCGGATAAGCTTAGAGCTCTGCTTCTCTAAGTAGTTTATTACCTAGGAATGGGGTTAATGTCTGAAAACTCTGTGTAAACAAATTACTGTAAAATCAGTTTTTATTTTATTACAGGGCGCATCTGGTCGTGCATGTAAGTTATAGGCAGAGGTGCACTTCTCTCCGAGTATTGCGGTAATTGTCTATGCGATTCTGTGACTCGGGTGTCCGTAGCCTACTATTCTGTGTGCAATTAAGATACATCAACAAGTGAAACCAAATACGACGACAAACTCGTTTGCAAGAACTGTCTCTTCTCTGAAGATGAAGATCACCACACTTCGAAAAATGCCGTTCCAATATGAGCTGTTTTATACGCAAGTAAACCTGAAATATTTTTTTTTTATTCCTGACCAATGCAACAATCGACATAAAACTCATTCCTACACACACCACGTGTGCGGCCTACTGAAGGAACTCCACACTTTAAAGGCCTGGTTCCACAGGATGCGGAATCTCCGCCGTGCGGTGCGATTTTTTCCGCTGCGGAATTAAAACGACACTGGTTTAATGGAGTTCCCATGTGTGCGGTTCCACTGACTTGCGATTCCGCATCCCGAAATTTCCGTTCCGCATGGCGGAGAAATCATACTGGTCTGAGAGCAGTAGCAGTGCGGATTCCGCCAGCGGAGAAGAGCCATCAAATATTGTGACCATGCAGATGTTTGGGTATTAAGTGTGGTTAAGTGTGGTCAAAACGTGGTTAAACGGGATCTGATCGTGGTTGAAACCTCTTAAGTTTCGTTAAATAAATAGCAAAAATACTAAATATTGGTACATACCTTAGTGTCACCGCTAGTTTCATCTCGGCATTCAATGGTTGTTTGTCTCGATTAGTAGCGTTGATGGGTAACTTAAGTCATCTTTGATGAGATCAACCATAAAGAAAAATTGGTCTTTTGACACACGGAAATACCGCTTAAACTTAGTTTCGTTGTCAACTAAATGATTACGAACCAGAATGTTATACGCCCCTTCACTGTCCCGATTCTTAAATATGTCACTTCGGTCACTGCGACTTGACACTAACAAAGATAAAAGATCGACAACATCATCATCAATGTCATCATATAGCATCAAAGCCAAAAGGGCTTTCCTCTTTCTATCCATACTCGTCGCTAGTTTGGACAGAACTGAATCTCCGCAACGTTATTTTCGCAGTCTGTAGAACCACCCCTCTGATTTTTCGCTGCGTAATTTTCCGCTGCGAAAAATTACGCACCGCATGGCGGAGATTCCGCATCCTGTGGAACCATAGCTTAACCAATGTCATTACACAACTTATCTGCTCTGTGATCTCAACGTCGGAGGCTTTGCCACATAAGGTATACAATAAGGTAGATAACAAAACACGCTTAAAACATGTGCAAATACAACTGTGCTGTCTTGTCAACGTTTTAAGAGCTCTGTTATACATGATATGGCACAGAAGGGTTTAAGGTAGATTGCAGAAATACTTATTATTCTATACTCTAATACGAACTATGTCTGGTTGTGGGTTTGTA